CAAATGCAAGTTTATAACGACGATTGTGTGACCTAAAAATATTCAATCTCATCAGTAGATAAAAAAAAGGTTATCAAATCTCAACAAACATAATGAAATAAGTGTTAGTAGATTGCAGAGGCTTCTCGATCATTTTTTTATCTTTTCGGTATAGGCTTTGTGAAATGGGTTCTGAACGGAATGCTGAAAGTACAGGGGGTAGAAATTCACACCGCACTCATCACTAGAGCTCGTTGGATTCAAAATTTTCAGACCTGAACGAGTCCGAGATCAATCCGAAGAGCTCTACCCTGCTATAAAGTATGACAGACTTAGCTTCAAACTAAAGGATATGTTACGAAATCCTTTATATATGCGGATCAATCGTGCTTCACATCTTTTAATATTGTATAGATTGTGATAACAGGCGTTTTTTGCAATCAGTGCGAATTGATGCAATCGTTTTTTTGTTAACATCATTGAAGAGAAATGTAGCATAAAGGAAAGATCGACTATCATATTCATTTATCATGAACTCAGGAGTTTTACGAAACAAGGAATTTTTATTTAAAATTTTATCTATTAATAGATCTAACTTTCTTATATATTGAATATTCTAAACTAGCGAGATCTCGTGCACATTGCATGGCTGCTTTTTTTCCTTTAACATTTGACCTCTCAGCTTTAATATATGACCTAATAACAGACACTCGACATTATGTATGTAGAAGATAGCCCTACGGCCTCATACCACTATATCGTGCGTAGTCTTATAGGCCATGTAGCCTAACGACTTCATAACTCTAGTCCCTTATAGCCTTTCTCTTGTCTCTCTCTTCTAGCCTTGCTCTCTATAGTCTTATTCAACCGTTGACCTTGGAATAGACAGATAGACACTGAACATTATATACATAGACGATATGTAACAAAAGATTATTTATTGAATATTCCGTATCTGAAGAATAAGTCATTCGTTTTGACCAGGCAGTACAGGACAATCTAACGAGTATAGAATCTACGATTGGTAATGAAATTTGCTTTTGTTGTTTCATGATATAAAGATTCAAATATGCTGTTATAAATTAATGTTCGAAGAATAGTTTATATTTGCCATTTTCTTTAATTAAATTTATTCACGAGTGCCAAATTGTTTAACATTTCTTCGATTATTTATCAAAAGAGCTATGCAATATTAACAGATAATATCGAAAGGATATCTTTCAAAATTCAAATCTACAGTTGTATTTTATTAATTTAACATTATTATTCCAACCATTGATTCGATTGACAAGCAAATCTATAGTACATATCCATTATATCTACAGCACGTCTAGGATTTACAAACACTGACATTAATTATTTCCTAAAGTTACTTTTATCTGCTCAAAAAAATTAAAAACTGCACTATTTCGAATATTCATAAACGTATTTCAGCCATTCAAATTTCAAGAAAGGTTCTAGAATATCTTACTGAAAATCAAAAGTATCAATTGTTTCCGCAATTGAATATTTTTTATGATCTAATTGAGATGCAGCTTCATAAGTAATCGATGTAGCTTCAAATGGTAGTAGTGATTCAACTTCAGTAATATCTATATAATAAAGAATAGAATTTTTTTTTCTTTTGTTTGAATATTTTTTTTTTCTTTATAAACATACTATTACTAGTATTCATTTGATATTCATATGGAACATTCGATGATGGTTCAGTAGTAAATGTTTCCTCTATTGGTGAAATATGTAATAATTGTCGATTATCTATTGTTGGACTTTGAATTGGTGAAACATGATCGGATGTTGATGTAAATATGACGTCATCAAAATCATCATTGTCTATGGGAATATCATTTGTAATTGACGACATACTTTTTAATATTTTTTGAGCCGTATACATTTTATCGTAGAAAACTTGAAAAAATTTTTCTGATGCTGTTTCATATTCATGTAAGCGACGATAAATACTTGTCTAAAAATAAAAGATTCATCATAGATTTCATTTATAATTAAAAAAAAAAAAAAGAAATCTAACTTGAACTTCAGTATTTCCACCTTCAAGTAAAGCTATAGCTAAATGAATGCTTTCTTCAAGAACATGTATTGATGATTGACTTATAAATAATTCAACAACAAGATCACTAGCACCTTGTTTATTTAATTCATTTTGTATTAAACGTAATCGTTCAATAACATCTTCTTCTAAATAAAATAATAAAATTTGTTTATTTTTTTGAATGTCGAATATTCAAGATATTTCGCACAAAATTTAAGTTATTTTTGCCGAAAAGTGGTGAAAATCTTTTAATTTTGCATAGTTTTTATGGAATTATTCGATTACTGACAAATCGAGTAATAACGAGACTATGCTCAAATGTAGATTCGAACCTTGAATTTATTTGTTCTAAGCTATTGAATAAATTTTTTCTACATACCTTTTAATGTTTGATGAAGAGATTTTAAATATTGTGGATCATCAGAAAAATAAAGTCGAAGTAATTTTAATCTTAAACTTTGTCCCTAAACAAAAAAAGAATTTTTATCAGTTATAATAAGTTTTTTTGTTTTCTATACCATTGTTTCAAATTCATGATTACTTTTAACCATTGATTTAAGTGCATGCATTATACGTAAACATAGATTTTCATCTGTTTGTATAAGTAAATATTTAGCATGTTGTATTAATCTAATTATTTGAAATATTAAATTTATGTTTTAGTTTAAATTCAAAAACAACAAGAAAATTTTATACTTATAAACGAATGCCCCATTGAGAAATTTCAATCGACATTCATTTTTATCAGGAAAAAGAGCATCAGGTGCACGAATAACATCGACAAGTATACTCATTTCTGCTTGAATTAATGGACTAAGTCGGACACTAACTTGAGAAAGAAACGACTAAATATTAACAAAAACAAAAAATAAAGATCAGATATTTAATTTTACTAAATAATAATTACCAAAAAACCATCAATAACACGTTTATGTTCGATATCTTGTGAATGATCATGTCCTTCGATAACATAATCCTTACTATATTGTCGTTCTGCTGTTACGCTACGACTTGCACGACGTGAATGCGTTACTGATTCACTGACTGAACTACGATTTGAGCGTAAAAAATGAATAAGACCACGCCGATCAGCTAATAATAAATAATAATAATAAATTTTAAAAAAATCGAATTAAACTTTTATACCAATTAATGATATTATATGTATACAACGATCAACACGTTCACGTTGTGCTGTTGTTAACCATAGTACATTAAATAATCGTAATAAATGACTATGAAGTGTTACAAGAATTGTATTGCGTTGCTAGAGAAAGAAAAATGAAAAGAAATTTTAAAATTTCAAAAATGAATAAACCAAGAAAAAAATCAAGAACGAATTCCAGCACTGCACACATGCACGGGTACGCCGAAGCATTCGGTATCTTATTTAGCTCAATGTAAATGTTTTCTAATCTCTTACTTGAATTTCAATAGTATCCATAATCTGCAATAAGAGAATATCTTTAAAACATGCATAAAAATGAAACATGGATATATATATTTTTTTTTTTTTGTGTTGTGTTAGTAATATTTCTAATCATTCAATGAGTGTTTTTTTTTAAAGTACCTCCCGATAAGCAATTATTGATGGTGCGATCTTAGTTGATCGAGTATCATCACGCATATAGTGATTCTAAGAGTGCATCTCACAGGTAAAATATTCGTTATTTTATTATGAATAATTTATGTATAGTGAAGAACACAAATGAATTACACAATAATTAAAACAAAAAGAAAGTGAATTATAAAATAATTCAGTTTGTATTAATTTGTATCAATGGTTTTGATAAAGTGTACTATGGTGTACCAAGATATGGGTGCGAGTACGCCCACATCCTTGTAAAACAGTGGTAGACGCTTGTAGACCTTAGCAGTGAAGCCCAGCAGGTCCAAGAATTTTTGAGCCCGGACCTGGTCGATCAAAATTTTGGATTCAAACCTGACTGATTAATCTTTGCGGGAAGAGTCCATCGGATCCAAAAATTTCTGGATCCGGATCCGATGGGCTCTATATAGCGGACTTTGGTAGACCTAAGTAGACCATGGCAGATTCTGATAGATGCTAATAGATCCTAGTAGATTCTGAAAGAACTTGACAGTCACTGGTAGATTTTGTTAGACCATGGCAGACTCTGAAGACTGGTAGACTCTGGTGGAATCTGACAGATTCTGGCAGATCCGAATAGACCCTGGTACTTCCTGGTAGACTGTACTGAAGCTCAATAGGCTTAAATACATTTATCAAAACCGTATATATTTATCAATACAATTTATGTATAATATATATGTGAGTTGTCAGCCAGGGATGCCTCAATTTAGTTTTTTTCTTCTAAAACCTTAATAATACATCGGAGCAATGATTTTTTTATCAGATGTACTTCACTAGTAAATACCAATCTCTTGAGTCCTATAGAGGGATACAGGCGATGTGTCTCAAATATTTTCTCGACAGATATTTTGTTTAGACTTTGTTTCTGTAACTAAATCCTGCCTTCGAGCATTTGAAATTAAATGAAGTATTTTGAAGCAAGTTTTATCATCAAGAAGTTAGTTTAAAAACTAGACAAAAGTATCATTTGATGTTTTTATGAATAGAAGATTTCATCAAGTTAAGATTACACTCTAAAAAAACATAAGGTAAATTGCTGAACCTGTCAAAGTTCTGCAGGAGCTACGAAATCTAAACTGATTCTTCACATGGAAACACTATCGAAACATTTATTACAGAATCTTTTCAAGATTCATGAAACGAAAAAGGTTCGATATCAGAAATACAAAATCTTAAAGGTTTTACACTAAATTTTAAAGGATCTGTATCGAACATGAATGGTTTCATATTTTTGATATCGAACCTTTTTTCGTTCCATGAATCATAAAAAGGTTCTGTAGCAAATATTTCGAGAACTTGCCCAGGTGAAGAATCATTTTAGGTTTCGCGTAGCTCTAGTCGAACTTTAAAAGATTCGGCAATATAGTTATTGTTTTTAAAGTGTAGACAAGGCGCCAACAACACGTGTAATTTTTGTTATCTTCTTAAAATCATCGATAGGTGCTCTATAGATACGGTCCAAGATAGCATAAGTTTTGATGCGTTGATTGATACTTTCAATAGTGATTCTTGCATTGGAAATATTCTTATTGTAAATTTTATCTGCTGCCGTCAATATATCTCCTCGAGGTTTCTTTCTTGGAGTAGTAACGTAGTTTTCACCGATATGATCTTTTCTGGTACACATTAATAATCCTGATTTTCTTAAAATTGTGAGATCGGGTACACACTCTCATGGTAGCACTGAGACACATTGTCTAATCTTAACTTGATGAAATCTGCTATTCATAAAAACATCAAGTGATATTTTTGTCTAGTTTTTAAACCAACTTCTTGATAATAAAACTTACTTCATAATACTTCATTTTATTTCAAATGCTCGAAGGCAGGATTTAGTTACAGAAACAAAGTCTAAACGAAATATCTGTCAAGAAAATAATTGAGACACATCGCTCCTATCACTCTGTAGGACCCAAGATGTTGGTATTTACTAGCGAAGTATAGTTTATAAAAAAAATCATATTGCTCCGATGTATGATTGAGGTTTTAGAAGAAAAAAACCAAATTGAAGCATCCCTGACTGGCAACTTCCATATATATATATTGATAAATTGTTTGAATATGTCTCTTCTATACAGTATAAAAACTTTGAATTATTTTGTAATTCACGTGTGTGATGAAGTGAATCATGTATAAGCATGTTAATTAAATGATGAAGATATTTTTTAATATTGCTTACTTGTGGTGAAGATGATTGTTCGAAAAAGGGTGAATTGAAAAATTGATATATTAATTCCAAAACTGTATTTAAAATATATTTTTCTAAATTGCGTTCGTCGCTTGCTTTTGTTATGAGCTAAAAATATTTAGAAAAAAGAAATTCTTAGATTATAACTAGAAGAGATAGGATTTTTTACAAGAGAAGAATTTTATTGTGTATAAATTTCATCAAATAAATCTGAAGATGTTAATCTTATTTCGGAGTTAAATTTTCAAAGGAAAAACTATTTCCATTTTAAATCTATCACAATGTGATTACTAGTTTAAAATATTAACTGTTTTTTTTTTCGCATTATCTCTGTCAGAATGGCTTGGAATAGGTAAGAGAGTGTTGCACCAATAATCCGATGTCGAAAGATTTTCTAAAATTCTGGACAGTACAAAGAAAAGTATAGCTTCCATATAGTACCATATTCGAATATGAAGAGTGAAACATCTATTTACACCCTTTTCCAATGTTGAAGATCTCTTTCTGGAATGAATCAACAACATATTCTTATATTATACAGATAGACTGATTAAAAAAAGAAACTCTTTCTAAACTCTTCTGTTCTTCGAATAAGTTGAAGTCAGCATTATTTTAGCTATAAAATAATTTGCTCCACTGGGAAACATGTTAGAATAATATACACCTGCAGTTGCTGCTTGTATCTAAGCAATGCTAAAGAAAGAGCACATGTGAAACTCAGTCGCTTATACCTAACAGTCATTTCCATATAAGCCACGACTTATTACGATAAAGGGGTGCAGAGGCATAACTTATCGGAGGCACACGGAGCCATTCTGCTATTAAAAATTGTCCACGCAGCACCTCTTTCTTTGGGATTCAACCGCTCTGCACCCTCCCTATCTCCAGTAGAGCCTGTCAGGTAGGTCAGAATCCGAAAATTTTGAACCCGACAGGCTCTAACCTCCAGTGATGAGTTACGCCTCTAAAAGAACACTCGATTAGGTTCTCGGATTGTGCATGAAATCTATTCCATCTTGTAGAGCATGGCGTTTTCGATATAGAACCATATTTGAGCAGAATCGATCGTGACGTACTTGTAGTGGCTCTTAATTTTAAACAGTATTTCTATAATTTAAAATTATTTTTAGCATCGATTCGGAAAATAAATGAATATCAAGACACAGGGTGGTCCAAAAGTCACGTTACCGAAAAAAAATTGAATATTTCCATTACGACTCGAGCAGACGAGCTGATTAAAGTATCACTAGTGATCTCAACAAAAAAATTTTACTTTTTCACAGATAGGAAAAAGCAATACACTCTAATGAAAAGACAGTTTATCAAGAAAAAAAAATGTAATCAATCAAAGGAACTTGTAAATAATACGTGTTGTATATTCACGGATATTTTCGCTTCGTATTTTTCTCATTCTGCTCTACTATGACAATGATCTGGCAGCAAGACGGCGCACCACCCCACTATGATCAAATTGTGCGAGATTATTTAGATGATACGTTCTTACATTGGATTGGTCGCCAAGGAATTGTTGAATGGCCACCACGAACTTCAGATTTAACTCCATGTGATTTCTCACTCTGCGGGAATTATAAAAGATCGTGTCTATGCTCAAAATCCTCGTAATATAAATCATCTTACGTCATTAATTAAACAAGAATTTACATCGTTCAATGATAATATTGAATTATGCCAAGCAATCTGTCGTTCTATAGCTGATCGTTGTTAGATTTATATTAACACAGAAGGCAAACAATTTGAACATTTCCTCTAAAGTATTGTCCATGTTTTCTTGATAAACTGTCCTTTCGTTATAGTGTAAATTGTTTTTTTCTCCTATCTGTGAAAAAGTAATTTTTTTTTTGTTGAGATCATTGGTGATACTTAACAAACGGTCTTTCTAATAACGAAAATATTCAAAAATTTTTTTCGGTAACAAGACTTTTGAGCATTGCACATATAATCGATCTGCTATTGGTTCATTCTTACTTTTTCAATATCTGGACAAAATGATTTTTCAATTAATGTATAAATATGTTGACTATTATAAATTTCTTTCATTTCAACTTCAGTATCAATATAACAATGATTTAAAAATGTAATATAAGCATCTTTAACCTAAGAAAATTTAAAAAGAAAAGGATATATTAGATTATAATAAAAACAAAAAATTAAATGATACAGACTTCAGCAATACAAGCTGGATGTGTTACTATTAAAACAAGATCATCAAGACCAATTAATGAATGACATTTAATTTCTGTTGATGCATTTTTTCCTTCTGTACACATTGCCAATAGATGAACAAGTTGAATATGATAATTTAATAATGAATTTGGATTTGTACGTTCATTTTCTGATTGCATACGTTCAACAAGATCAGATAAACTTCCCTTTTCATAAATCATTAATACTTCATCGGAAGTAACCAACTGAAATAAATAAATATTTATATTTTATTTTAATAATTATTTTTGTTTTTTTTTTATTTTGAAATTTTTACTTCAGACATAATTAAATCTTGACAATTTTTAATATATTGATTTTCTGCTTTAACAATTGTTTGAAGAAATTTAATATACGTAACTTTTCGTCCATGTAATTCAATTAAATGAACAAAATGTTGAATATGTTTTTCAGTTATTGTTTTACATAATTGAATATTATTTAGAAATATATAACAACATGTTTCTACTTCTTGTTCCTATTGGAAATAAAAACGGAAAACAAAATAATGATAAATGATGAAGTAACTAATCGATGTCATGAATAGACATTAATGAATATCGGGATTGATCCAAAACTGGACACGAATGGAACCAGTGGGTTTTGGTGTCGGTCCTAGTGGAACTGAGACAATCTTGTCCATATCTATTTAGAACATACGAATCGTGACAATATGACATCCAGTTTCTTCCAGGGATGCATCAATTCTAATTCTTCGACTAATGTGAAATTAATGCATCCCTGGAAGAAAATAACATAAGCAGAAGTGGGCTTAAGCTCAATTTAGTATCGAATCCAAACCCAACTCATTTGACCAAACTTGAACTATTTGGATTTGGTGCATGTCTAGCTATGAATACAATGAAAAGAGTTCGTATTGCTAGCTTGTTGCTATCGAAATATTGATTTTTACAGTATTTTTTTAAAACAAAACTGTAATTTTCCTTAGGAGTGCCAGAAAAACTGGTTTTCAACTTTCGATTTGAGATTTTGCATGGAGATATACGATAAACAGAATAGTTTGTTATAAAAATTTTAGACATTTTGATTTGTTTCTATCCTGAAATAAGATTATCGAATGTAGCAGTGTATATGAACAACGTAAAAGACATACCTTTACAATAGTCATATCTTAAGATAGGAATGACAGAAAGATCTGGAACTTTCACAATAAATTATTCTACTTAAGACCTATGTCTATGCAAAATTTCAAGTCGAAATTCGAAATTCAGTTTTTCCGATGTTCCCAAACAGCAGGACCATGAAGCTTTGATTTAAAAAATACTGTTAAAATGCAATATCTCGATAGCAAATTAGTTAAAGGCACGAACTCTTTTCAGTGTATCTTTAACTCATTAGGGTCTACATGATGCTCATTGTCCTGATTCAAAAGACCGCTATAATTGAGCAGAGATGTCTATGGCAACGCTGCTGCCGTGGTTGCGGCATTCTTTTGGGAGGAAGAAATTTCAAAAATGCATGAATTTGCACAGAATCTCAGCATTCATATATATGATACTGTCAGACTTAGCACATCTGGTCGAGTAGCAGCAATAGTTCTAGTTCAAACTAGTCACGACCTTGAAAATCGAAACATTTTTTTTGAATATCATCGCGGCAGCGGCAGACTCTCAGCTGCGATGGACATCTATATGACTGAGTGACTGCGCTGCTCGGCCCGTATCTACAAGATGCTGTGTTCAAGTGATGTTGCTGCCAGCCATAGAATGACCCTGGGCAATCCACTAATGACTATTTGTCTTGAATCATCACCCATCTGACAGCATGCCAAGCAACTGATCATAAGAACTCTGCATCAGACTGGCTTTCTGTCCAAAACTACAACTAGTATTAATTGTAGGGAAGATATTAGACTATTGAATCTGCTGCTAGACAGGAGTATTATTCTTCTTCCCTTCTGATTCGAAATCAATTGAGAATATTTCCGACTTTATATATATATTTTTTAAGAACTCGAACTAGTTCTCTGTTATATTACATTCTTTCTTTACCTCAGATATTTGAGGATAATCATTAAAATATAAATCATATAATTTAGCTTGATTTGTTGAATTATCATAACAAAAATATTGTAAAAGATGATGAGCTAATTTCATTATATGATTCATTCGAATATCTTCTATCTAAGAATAAATAAATATAAATATATAAAGAAAAATAATAATATTTAAGTTTCTTTCTTTATTATTTTACTTTATCATATGGAATTTTTAATAAATCGAGTACAACAACATGTACACCCATATTTCTTAATAAACGTTGTTCATCTTCACGTGCATATAAATTACCATCATTAGTTTCAACAACACATAATTTCATCATTCGACATAAAATCTAAATAAATATATCATTTGTATTTTATTTATAATCATTTTTCTTTCGCAATAAATTTTAATCAAACCACATGCACATGCTAATTAATAAACAATACATGCTTGTATATTCTTTTTAAATACAAGATTGTATGAAACTATGTTTAAAATAATTGATCAAAAATCAAAAGGAACATATATTACATGTCAAGATCAAATGCAAAAAAAAGAATACAGCATTTCTATCTAATTCTAGCATAGATATGTGAATATTATATATACATATATATATATATAATGAAGCAGCATATCAATTGAGAATAATTGAAAAGGAAAAGAAGTGAAATATGAAATGCAGATAGTACATATATATATTTATGAAATGTCTTATTACCGTGTCAATAAATTTATGTATGCCCTATGAAAATAGATGTATTAAGAGAAAGAACTCTGTTAATAATATTATGATTAGATTTAAGTCTCATAATTGAAGAATAATTTGGTAATTAGTAAGCAAAGTTATTGGATTCTATATTTGATTCTTTGAAGTCTGAAGAATGTAATAAGTGTTACTCACCTGGAAGATCGATGTATATCGATATGATGATTCTTCATTGATAACCGGAGCACCAGCTTCCCATTCTGCATCAGTAAAACCAGATGAAGTTGCCAATTTCTTCAATTAAAAAAAGAGCAATAATTAAAAATAATTTCGGAAAAGTATCATTTCAATAGTTATAGAATATGAAAAAATTTTCATACAAATATATTACAATAGACAGATTTTAGTAAAACAAAAATATCTCCTAATTAATTCGATTTACATGTAGATAGCAGAAATGGAACCAGCCAGTCGCCATTCTGACTTATTTAATTTCCTGCTTGTATTAGACAAACTTATGTAAAGTGAAAGACAATTTTTGTTTTGTGAATAGTTTTACTCGAATGAAATCTATGAACGGTAACAAATAGTGATTTCAATAGCCCTCCAGAATGGACTTCAAATCTGAGATATCAATGCTCTCTTAAGTTCAATTATTTGAGTTTCTATTACACGAACCATTTTTCTCCAGGGGACAAAATTTTAAATATACTTCTATTATTTTACCAATTTTTCGATATTAAAACTCTTTTATACACCATTCGATGCAGCACTGAATAGCCTATATTTTGATAAAAGCTACCTTTTGAATATCATCGGTATTAATTAATAGTCATAGAAAGATTTTGTTTTAACTTCTAACATGTAAGTACATCATTATGAAGAGTGTTGAAAAACTGAACAAAATGGTATGTTACTCGTGCCGATACGATTTGCTTTAGTAATTAGATTAGTAAATTTTACTACTATATTGCACTATTATTTTAGTGCAGTTGAACTGTATAAAGCAACTTCAAAACTTGGAATATAAGTAGACGTTATACTTTCAAATGAGATCTAACAGTCATCTATATAATGTACTCTCCATTTGATACAGTATTATTACTTTTCACGAATGATATTTCCTGGTTCTCTTTCTTCAATAAGACGCTTAGCCAAATCAAAATCGTTGTACCGACTACAGGGCACATTCTATAAATGGCAGTTACGTGCCATTTGAAAGCATAAAGTCTGCTCTGTAAAAAAATACTATATCATAAGTTTTGAAGCTGTGTTAATTGAGTTCAAATGTACTAAAATAATAGCACGAATATAGTAGTAAAGTTCGCTAATCTGAGTACAATATTACTAAAATGAATCGTATCGACACAACTAATATACAATTTTGCTAAGTTTTTAACGCTGTTTCTAATGATGGTAAAGTTAAAACAAAATTGTTCTATAACTGTTAATTAATATTAGTTAACCCTAATTATTAACCCATTAATTAACTATAATTATTAATTTATTACTTAGTTAATTATTAATTATAATTAATTAGTAATTAACTATAATTATTAATTAATATTGATAATATTCAAAAAGTAGCTTTTACCAAAACATAGCTCATTCAATTCTGCATTGAATGGTATATATAGAAGAGTTCTCTATGATTATTAAATGGCGGAAAATTGATAAAATATTAAGTACTTTAAACTTTTGTCCTGCATATTAGAGAATAAAAGATGTTGATCACATCAAATGAGACTATCTAGAGATGCAAATGACACACATTTTAGACTAGTCGATAGTGAAAAATCTACATCGGTTTTATCTTTAGTCGAGGGTATTAATTAAATATGATTAATTGATTTTATTAAAATGTTAATCTATACCTTCATTTCTAATTCTTCATCTTTTCTATATTCGTTATCGACATTAGTTTCATTTTCATTTGCTGTCATTGTTGTTCCATCTTTTCCTTTTTTATAAACCCATAATTCTGATTTTTCAACAAATAATCTTAATTGATCTAAATCTCGTTTTATTTGTTTATAATTTTGAATATCAGTTTCACTAACAAGTAATTGTACTTGATTTAAATGTTGTAATGTTTCTTTACGTTGATTAAAATGTCGAAAAAGTAATGATAATGCACGTGATACTAATGGTTGATAATCATGCATAACAAGTTTAAGTAAAACTTTAAGAAATGTTTTGCCTTTTGCATCATCTAAATCAAGATTTGGTTCACTAGAATCAAATATACATTCAATATCGGATGTTTGAAGTAAATTTGATATTGAGTCTAAACAAAATTAAAATAATAAATTTTATTAGATAAGATATTTTTTCATGTACCAAGACGATCATATTTTTGTTTAAAAATTGAAACAAGACGAGAAATACGAAAATCAAGTCGAATATCAAGAATAAATTCAAGAATTGCAATAATATTCATTTTTGTTTTATAAGCTAAATCATCAATCGCATCACTAGGTTGTTCTGTAATTGTATCTGTTACAGTATATAAATTTGGAGTTATAACAGATTCATATTTTGATGATTTTGTATTTGCTATAACTACTGATGGAACTAATAAATAAAAATTAGAATGGTTGTTTTTGTTTTTCAATATTGATATCAAAACAAACTTTTTTCTGTAAGTGGATCAATTGTATTTGCACCTATAATTCTACTTGTATCTAATATACCAAGAAGTGTTTTTGTTAATTTAAGTAAATCTTCGAAACTATAAAAACCAAAGAAAATTAAACGACGAGCTAAATTAACAACCTAGAAAAATTAATTTAAAAATAAAAAAAAAACAATAAATATCTTTTTGTTTTTCTGATGAAAAATAAAAGAAATTCTTTTTTTTACTTCATGTGTTAATTTATTTTGTTCTCTATCAGAAAATGAATTTGGTTGCTGAACAACTGTATTTAGATAATCTTCTACAAATTTCATTGTTGATTCAAATTTTGATCGATTGTCATTTTTTTCTGTTGGTTCAAGTGAACCATTTATTGTTTGATCATATCTAAAGAAATATTATTTTATTTTTTCTCGAAAATAAACAAAAAAAAATGATTTCCGGTTTTCTTTTTTACTCATTTAAAGATATGGTTGATTTAACTTGATTCCATAATCGTGCATATTTTATACGTGTTACTTCTTCTTGCGGATCCCGATTAACATGTATATGAATCATTAAACGACAAAATGCTGCACGTAAATCTGGTGGAAGATTTTCACTTTTTGTACATCTTAATAAATAAAGATTGGTCTTTTTTTCGTAGGAAAAAGTATAAAATGTAATAACTTACGTTAGAAGAAGTTCAATTGTTAATTCTGGTGATAAATTATCAATTGCTAAATATTGTCGATCGAAACACATATGAGAAAATAAATTTAGTTGAAATCTAGGAAAAGATTTAAGAATTCAAATTAATATTTTATGAAATTGAAAACAATACGGAAGTTGAAATGAAAATAATTTTCTTTATCAATTATTGGAATTATTAATAGAAGATTGTGAATAACGAAAGAATCCTATCTGTAGTGATTCGAAGCTTTTGATCTCATATTTTGCTCGTAAACAGGAAACTTGTACATGGAAAAAACGTCTAACGAAGGAACCTTCCCAACTTGAAAATCGCTTTTAAGTTCGAGGTAGAGACCAATGAGGTATTAAAAAGCCTGGAAAGGATAAGGGCTTCTAGACCTTCCTTGAAATAGTCGGTTTATTGGAATTTTAGCTTATGGGACGATATGTACAAAAGAATCAGATGATGATATTTTGCCCATAGATATACCTACTTGTAACTAGAACATCCTAGAAACGTCAGCTCAAAAGAATGTTTCCTTCACGAGATATTGAATTTCCAAAAATCACTCATATGCCAAGAAAGATTCGAGAATCTTATGTCTTTTTTTGAAAATTCAATATCTCGTGAAAAGAAAATTCTTTTGAGCTAAAATTTTCATGATATTCTAGTTACAAATAGCCCTATCGATGGGCAAAATATTATCATTCGATTCTTTTGTATTTGCCGTGCTATAAGCTAAAATTTCAATAAAATGACTATAACTTTGTAGCATAGATGTGCATCGCGGCTGAGAATCTACCGCTACCGTGCCACCATGGACATCTCTACTTTGTAGAGAAGACCCAGGAGGTTGTAGATGAGATGCATACTCACACCCACACTCAGTCATAACTCAGACCCTATACAGACTAGTCTAAACGTGATCCGGCAGTCTTTGACTGCAAATAGCTTTTGATAGGAATAAGATAGAGAGGTGCAATTTTCACCGTTCGAAAGAGAAGATGAAGATGTATCGAATTATATATTATAGATTTTTCTAAGATGTTTTCTTAATTAATTTTCTAGAAAAATTGCGGGAAAAATGATTTCTTATGAAGTAAGAATAACACAAAAAAGTGATTTTTTTTTCACTGAAATCAATAGAAAAATCGGCTCAGAGTAGAATACCTATAACTTCTGAAGGAGTAACTCTCAAAGTCTAGCCTTTGAGCAGTTTAGTAGGTTTTCGACTAGCAGTTCAAATGCACACCTGATCGTAAAAAATTCAGTGTAGTCACCTTGCGGAGTGCATTGGTTTTCAAAAACGTTGGTTTAAATCCTTGAAAAAACTAGATCAAATTATCTTAGATTATGCAATGCGATGCATCTTCATCTTCTCTTTCGAACGGTGAAAACCGCAGCACTCTATCTTATTCCTATCAAAAGTCATTCACAATCAAAGAGTGTCGGGTTATTTTTGGATCATCCTGTAGGTTCAAGTCCTTCAAAACTTTTTTTTATCGCAATATAATCTCTCGAATGATGTGCGAATGATTCTAAATAGAGCTGAACACCTTGAGTATCTCCCTTGTACGTTCGAATTATCCTATCCTCAGTACTTCATCGATACTTGATGAATGTTTGTCTAAAAAAGTATTTTCTGAATGTTTCATTAGTTAACTTACTGACAAAATGATGATTACTTGATGTACTCAGAATTTGTCAGTAGTGACACATTAGTGAATAGAGCTGGGCAAGTACAAGTACGTACTCGATAAAACCCGTGCTTGTCACGCTCTGCTAGTCATTAGTCCATTTCAAATACTATCCTGTTTGAATAAATTTATTAGCTATGATTTTCCTAATGTATCAGATTTTAGTAATTTTTTCCCTTTAAAACTATAGACTGTTTAGAATACATATCATAGAAATATCTTATTAGACTTTTATTCAAAAGTATTTTATATCCATATATTTTTACCTATAATATTCAAGAATATTTTTAAATTCTTCACGTCTTTTATGTGAAGGTTTATCTCTTATAACACCAGCCATATGTTCAATTGATTCAGATGTTCCATCCCATGTTAATCTAACTTCTTGTAATATATTTTGATTTGAAAAACCAATTGGTGAACTTATATTATCATCCAAAACCATATCTTCAACACACTCTCTTGTGTCGAATCTATTTAAATGAATAATTAAAAAAAAAAAAACAAAGAATTTTCAAGAAATAATTAATTGCAAATAAATAACAAACTTTGTTCGTATTAAAATATCAGAATTTTTTTCTAATACTGATTTACATATCATCTCTTGTGTTCGTGCTATGGCTTGATTACTTGATACACATAAATCTGATAAGTATTCAAGAAATCTTTAAAAAAAAAATAATCATTATTTTTATTTAAAATATAAAATGAAAAACAAATTTCGTACTTGCAATCTCGTTTTTCTCTTAATAATCTAACAAATGTATCAATTTCTTTTTCTGTTATATGTTTTTCTAATAATTTTTTATTGTTATGTAATAATGCTGTTATTGTATCTTCAGCTAATATATCATAACCAATTTGTGATTGCATAAATGAAAATTCTTTTGCTATTGTTTCCTTAATAAAAACACAAAAACAAAAGTGTTTTGGTTTTTAAAACAATAGAAAAACAAAACGAAATAATTTTACTTGATTTTTTCGATAGTCTTGTTGACAATGTTTAAGTATTCGATAACAAAGACGACAAATTGTTTTTATTTGATATGTTATTGTTGAATGACGTACATCAGCATCTTGTTGTTGTGGTGATGTTGAAATATGTTGATCATTATTTAACATTGTAGAAGAATCTGAACCTTTTATTGATTTTGTACTTGATCGTTCGAATTCCAAGCGTGGTTTTAATACTCGAAGCATTCGAAATAACTAAAGAACAAAAAAAAACAAAAATCGTCTTTTTTTGAATTCAAAATTAAGAAAAAAAAACTAAATTACTTGTTTGAGTATATTTTGTTCACGAATTAATTTTTGTCTTTCACGATTTGGTTTTAAGATTTGGACATCAAATGCATCACTTCCATTATTTTCTTGACAAGCAAGAAAATAAACTATATCACTTAATAATAACATCACTTGCCTAAAATAAACATATTAAGAAATATTGAGTGTAGTTTACGGATAGCATGAATTTTTCTGCATTGACTTTCGGAAAATGACGAAAGTTGTATTGTAACGAGAGATATGCGGGATCGAGTTTTTCTGGTCCCGGAAGCTTCTCTTCTGGTGGTTTCGATTTCAGAAACTTCTTTTTCTTGAAATGCTACTCTGGGAAAATTCTTTTCTCATGGCTCCGGTTCCGATCAGCGAGGTCAAGATGAGGATTAAAATTGATCCCGCATATCTCTACTTGTGATGAAGCTTTCATTTGCTAAGGGCAAATATTCGATCCAAACATAACTTTCAGTAATTGTCGAAGGTCGTTTAGAAAACTGAACACGGTAGTTTTTAGGTCTCTGAAGACGTTATGGGAGCAGTACTACGTGAAAGAACATAAAATTCTGAACAAAATGAGGGATCGCCACATTTCTTTGCGAACTTTCCTTAAGAAGTTACAAGAGAATGTGGCAAAAACCATAGTAATCACTCATTTTATTCAGAATTTTATGCTCTTTCAGTCGGTGCTGTTGAAAATGAGCTGCTATAATATGTTCTCAGACCTGAAAAGTACTGTGTTCGGTTTTTGTTAGTGAACGTTTTCATATAATCCAACAATGAAACCTTGACATACAGTGTATCTGATAGATAACTTCATTGCCTATCGAAACTACTAACTGGATTTTACTTATGTACTCGATATCAAGAAACAACAATCAAAATTGCCTTATCATTTTGACGTACAATTAAGTCTTTCAAGAATCTATCATAGGATTTCGAAATACAAAGAAGTACATAATACAAAAGTTTTTCATGTATTTTATTAGATCTCTTTTTGTTTTAGATAATGATAAAAAAAATAATTTTACTTATCATGAATTTTAATCCTTTGAAGACAAAGTCCGTATAATTTTAGTAGAAACGAAAGTTTTTGAATTATTTTTTAAAATAAATTCTTTGAATATTTTCGTTTTCAATATCAAAATACATATAATAATTAATATTTTTCTTCAAATTTTAATTTGATTACTATTTAATTTCTAAGACTTACTTTCTTTCATTAGCATGTACATTCATAATTCCAATTTTTTCCCATTTTGATACAATTGTATCAAAATATTGTGCAGCATCAGTAGCAAAATCTAAATCTCGTACTTCATCTGGTGAAACATGTACTATTTGAAATGCTTCTTTATCTTCTTTCATTAAAGCACAACCAATTTTAAAACGTACATTATCATCATCAGGATCTAATTTAATATTTGTTGAATGTACCCATGTATTTGTACATATATGTTGTAAACGTACATATGAACCCCATGGTACAGGATCTTCATTACGTGTTATTGTTGTTGGATCAAGTTCAAATAAAGATGATATATCATATGCATGTGGAATAGGTATAAGTGCAAAAACAGGTGTAGTTGATGAACCACGTAATTTTTGTCGTGTTACATCAAATGTTTGATCATTATCAACTTCAGCAGCAAGATATTGTCCTGTAGCTAAATGTTTAAAACGAAATAATGAACTCCAATGACCAGTGCCACCACGACATGGATCTTGTTGAACAACTTCAATTTCCCATAAAGCATTTGATGATGTTGCTGATGTTGCTGATGCACGACCAGTTGCACGTAAAAAGACAACACTTTTTTTTCGATAATTATCACAGGTTAAAAATTTTTCTTGTTCAGCATGAAATAAACGTACAATATCACCCTGAATTTTAGAAAGAAAAAAAAAACAATAAATAAATTAGTAAATTTTTTTTTTCTAATTGAATTTCTTTCGTACACTTTTTAATACTTCATTTGTTGCTTCATAACATGATACAAATAAAACAATTTTCCAACTTGTTTGAAGATGAGAATTGACCTATTTATAAACAAAAATAAAACAATATAAAATTATGTTATGAAGTACAAAAAAAAAACAAAATTAGATATCATGCATGATAAATAATAAAATTATGCATTATTTTGTTGGCTTTCAAAGCTAATCATTTGCTTTCTAAGTAGATCTTCAAATGAGAGAAGTTTTTTTTTCTTTCTATCTAACATAAACTCGAATATGAAAAATGACTTAAGCTCATCTGGGGAAAATCGCGATTTTCGTCAAAAAAAATTGATTTTGAGATTTTTATGTCATCGGATAGTCCTCGTTGTCTACTTTCGAAAACAGTATTATTTATTCAAATTCTGATGCTTTTTCATGATTTGACACAGGACTTATTTATGATGTTGGAATAAAAAAAAATGAGTTTTTTTTTTTTGAAAATGTTAGTTATTTCTCTTCTAGATTCAGACTTTTAGACGCTGTACAAGTCTTCATTTGATCTGCTATAGTCGATAATGCATGGTAGACTATGATCGATGTGTTTCTTCTACTGTTTTACTAAATAGAAATATTGATTTTCAATTACAGACTTTATTTGGCATTTTTCAACTTGTGTATTCCAAATTTCTCAGCCATTTTACATACTAAGAAATTCAGAAAGGTTTTAAATTGAACAGAAAATTGTGCTCTACAACTTAACTGAACTGGATTTTTTATTTTTGAGAAAAATAGATCTTTTTCCTAAGGAGTATTCCTTTTTTTCGAACAAAACTCACGCCAAAAATTGATAAAGAAGAATTTGAAAAACCAAGTTGTGTTAAGTTGTAGTGGCTATATTTTGACGTCAAACTCCAGATCTATATCAATAGATGTTGGGGAGAAATCGGAGACATTCGAAGAGCTACTGTCGGTCTCTTAATGTAGGAATAACTCTTGAAGCATTCAATATTTTGGGTTGAAATTTTTACTGTGAGTTTTCTAGGTCCTGATCCATATTTCCTGAGATTTGTTGTTCTGGAACGAAAATAAATTTTTGATGGAAGGGGAGAGGCACAGTATGCATCTAGGTAGACATCTGCCAAAAAATGAAAATTGCACTTTTTCAATATTTAAATATAGTCTATCTAATGATATAAATAACTTTGTTACAATCCTCAAAGAAATTGAAAAACCAGTTACCCAAAAATTAACCTGAAAATCATGATAACTGCATCCAATGATATATAATACAAAACAATTATGAAGAAAAAACAATTTGTCAAAAAAAATGAGAGCAAAAGTCTCCCTGAAGCATTTTTCGTCGAAAAACTTTTTTTTTTTTTGAAAATGCTTTTCTACGTCATATCCAATTATTTCCAAGCACGAAAGTCATATATCTATCTGACATACGAAAAATACACAGTGTTGGGGAGAGCTTTAAAGATCTACTTATAAGCAAAATAAAAAGCACTCTATTAATATACACACAAAAACAGAACATTATATGTATGTTTTGTTAAAATAATATAGCTACAAATACAATATCAAACGTACAAAATATGAATGACAATTGACCTAAATAATAAATAAAAAAAACAAAACAAAACTCAATCATATGCACATGCATAATACAAGCTAAAATTCTCCATGTCAATTCAAAACGAAAAAATTCAAAAAATTTTTTTTTTCTAACAAACGGTATAATATAATTAATACCGCGTGAAGATTAATAATACTGCAACACTAAAAAAGAATAAGTTTTATTTTTCATAATTTTTTTTTTTTCGTTTTTTTCATTTATAAAAACAAAAGAATAATAAAACTTTTCCTTTTTTTTTTTGTTTTTTACATACTTCTTTGGAACCAGGATGATCAGGTAATTCTAATTCACTAACATGTAATGGTTGTCCACCACTATAAGGCATGAGTACAACTTTATCACCCACAACAACCTATAAAATTTCATTTTCGATAGAAAATAATCAATAAAAAAACAAAAAAAAAAGATATACTCGTTCTCCTTTTGTACGTAGTTTATAAAAAGGTTCAATTTGAAACCATGAACCTTCTGTGCCACTAATATCCAATGAAACACGCATTGCATTTTTTTCCAAAATAGCTGGTAAACGTTTATTAACAGTTATATATTTATTACTTTTTATATGAAGTAATTGTACAATAGTATCACCATATTTAATAATTGTTCCAGTTTGTTTTCGAGTTTCAGCTTCATTTTGACGTTTTTCTGTATCAGCAGCTATTTGTAATTTTTTTATATCTCGAGTATTATTAGAATTTTTTAATGCATTCCAATATTGGGCTTGAGCACTATAACGATGACTTGGACATATACGAAAAAGACAATCTATTGCAAAAAAAAATAAATAATCATCAATTTTGTAAAAAAAAAAGATTCTTTTCTTTGCCTCGAAATTTTTTTGGTGGTTTTTGTAAATCACCAGATTCAGGTTGCACAACACAACGATCATCAACAAGTCTATTGAGATTTATTTATAATATTTATACAAAAACAAATAAATAACCATACCCAAGTGTACTTATAAAACCACAAACAGTACCTTCAGCATATAAAGATACTGTATCACCAATTTTGAGAAAACTTGACGTCAAACTTGATTCCATTATTCTATATTGATGTTCTACTTGTTTATCTATAATATAATGAAAAAAAAAGCTAATGTTTTATTTATAACATATAATATTCCTACTGGAATAAATAAATAATCATCGATCTTTTTTTCTCACATTATGACCGATAAAAAAAAAGCCAATTTATTAATAAGGTCAGATCTCAATAATAATAATAATAATAAAATTTTTATCTCAAATGAATTGCGATTAATTCAATGTTATATGGCAAGTGGTTGATGTCGATTTATTATAACTCAGTTTTTATCATAGGAATAGAAAATAAGAGATAGAGAAGGGGTTATATAATGGTATTAGTTAGTTTCCTCACATTTGTATTCAGCTTACTGTTGAAAGAAATAACACGGGCAATCATCTATATATATATATTCTAGTCTTCATATTAATGTTATACGTAATTACTGTCTAGAGAGATTGCATGCTGATTTTACTGACAAAATATAGGAGTAAATATTAAGACCTTTTTTTCTCTTTGACATAAAACAAATGTACTGATTAAGGTTCCGGAAGGCTCATTTTGTCGTCTCTATACAAGCAAAAAAAATGTTTTCCTATGTAATTTAGTACATATGTCAATAATCAAGTAGTCTTAATACATATATATATATCCGATCAGTTAGTCAGAAAAACACCTGCTGAATATATGATGTATACATATACTTATCCTTTCATTTCATCATAGAAGAAAAGAACAGATAATAGAAAGAAAATGATATTTGTTTTTTTTTTGATTCATCATAATATAGACGTTTGGTCTTGCGTTTTGTTTTTTGACTGTACCTTTGATAATCGCCGAGTTCGAATTCATCGACAATTGTCATTGTCAATTAGATAGGATATTAACATGGAATGCATTGAGGAAAGAAAAAAATATATCGAAATCTAGAATTATATATATATATATCAATTATTATCGTTTTCTACATTGTATATAAAGCTCAAGAAGCAAAATAAAGCATTTGAAATTGTAAGAAAAGATTTGTTAGTTTACAAATTAATAAATGACTTGTTTAAAATATAGACCATAAACTATAAATCATCAAAAGTAAAAAACAAAAAATGTGCCATTCATTAAGCTTTGTGTTGATCAAATTGGTCGACAGCTGTGATATGTCTTCTTTCATCAAAATCCATAGGGAAAATGTCACCTGACTTCCGAAAAATAGCAATTTTCTTTTAGCAATCTGTTACTTTTTCTTTTTTGTTTTTAGCACTTACATATTTTTTCTGTCAGCTTTTATCTGCTTACAGGCATTATGTACTTAACATTCCATTGTATTGTTTTTTTTTCAATACCATAAATAAATTTGAATGAATTGATGCTTTATGATGTATAGATGATATTAGTCAAGCGTCAAATTACGGAAATGAATATTATTATGCATTATTATCCTATTCATACAAATTTGTTAGAATATAAGTAGAGGAAAAACAAAGACTGATAAAAAAAAGTATTTTATTTTTCATATATCTATAGATATAAATGGATATATTTCTCTATAAATTGAATTATTTTTATCAGATGCCAAAAAATATTGTTATCAAAGTAAATATATAGTTGAAGAAACAAAAAATAAGATAATATCTGACACAATATAGACCAGAGAAAAAAAATGATAAGCAAATACAAGACAATATTATTTATCTGACAAAATTTACACACAAGTATTAGTTTTGTAATCTTATTCTTTTTTTTGGTTTTTCAATAGATAAATAAACGATTTGATCGTGTATATTTCTTGAAAAACTGACGTCCATCATCGGTCGGTGCCGAAAAAGCCAAATCAACACGTTTAATAACAATACCAAAGAAAAAATTTGTTCTAAGAAAAAGAAAGATGAGCAAAAAGTTTAATTTTTTTGTCAAATAAAAACTAAATATACAGTTATTCCTATCAATTATTCAAGATAATATTACTACAATAAAAGTATTGTGACAAGAAGATCATATCTCAATATTAAATAGTATTCAACTAATAGCTTAATGTTATTTCAGCTAATTTGAAAATAAGTTTATATTTTGTATGACTATTCAAGAATTTCTATTATGAATAGAGATTATGTCTGATTCGCTGAAATAAGAGAACTATTTTTTTTATTCACCCCTGTGTAACAAGTGGGTCATTACTAAATGGTCGCCTCTTTGCCTGTCATCTTTTCATCACCTAATACAAATTACCAGGGAAAAAAAATATATACCACAAGACGTACTGAAAACAGCTGTACAATATACAAAGAAATGTTTTATCTTATATATATATATATATATTCTTTCCTTTTGTTTTAAACAAAAGAAAAGACCAAAATTCTATTCGATAGATTTTTAGTACATAGAAATTTTTATTCTAATAAATAAAGAATTACGAATTTTGTTTTTTGTCCTATTATTTATTATAGTCGATGATGTTCTATGCATAATTATTAAAAATTATGAGATTAGAATTATTTGTTAGTCAAATATGTTTATATCATTGAAGTGCATTATGTCAATGTTTCCTTAATGTATATGAGAAATTACGTTGTTTTATTATTGATCGATGACAATATCGCTCAACAACTGTTTATCTTTAGATTGTTGATGTTGAGAAATTACTTCAATAGAATTTTTATTTGATAATATTTTATCATATTCGAATATAATTAGAGATATGAAAATATTTTGTTTTTTGGAAGCATCTTATCACATCTTAAAATATATTGCCTTTTAATTTATGTCTCATTTTACAGCTGCTTTGTGTTAACTAATAGCATAAATACATTTCCTGATGAAAAGCATTTGTCGTCAAATGAATAGAATTTTCTTTAACTGATGAGATAAAAAAGATACAGTTCCATCTGATCGTTTATCAAAAAAAAAAACAATAATCTTGTTCGCAGTGATGAAAAGTAACTATTAGATTTTTACTAAAGAACGAAATAGCATGTAAGCTTAGACTTTCTTTATGAATTAATACATGCAATATGAAGTTATCCTTGACATATCGATAGATAACGCTACCTATCGATCACTTGATAATACATACAGTATTTTATAAACTCTTACTGTAGTCAAAAATCATCGAAAAAACTTTTCGTAGTCATTGATCAGACAAAACTTTGTCGTTTTTTTTTTGTTCATTTAAAACAAAAGGTGTATATATATATATATAAAATAAGCTTTTCTTTGCAAATTGTCGAATCTTTTTTCTTTCAGTACATACTATGTTTTGTTTTTAATAAACGGTCATAGGTGATGAAAAATGTAGTCATTCATAATGACCTATCGGTTTTTTTTTCAAGCTACTATTCATAGATTACAATTTGCTATGTTATTTGTTTTTTCTTTTTTATGTTAAGACCTAAAAACAATTATTACCGAACACAATCAAGTAATTTTGTTGCAATACGAGTTCGACGATGATCAGGATGTATCCATATACGAGCTATACCACAAAGCATTTTATTCATTTCAGTTTGTTTATCAATATTTGATTCATCATTTAAATCAAGTATATGAACCTTGAAAAGAAAAATTAATATTATTTTAAAAGTCAGAACAAAAACTTTACTCGATGAACAATATGTGCAAGACAATAACCAAGAACAATATCAGTACAATCTTCAATATAAAAATATGCCTTTAAAGAAAAAAAAAACAAATAAATGTAATCATCAAAACAATAGTAAATTTTGTTTTACTTTTGTTTCACTCCATAAACAATTAAATGGTGTTGTAATTCCTAATTCATTATCAATTAATTCTCTAACATGTTCAGCTTTTTTTTGTTCAGTCGATGGTGATGTACAACCAATCATATAAATACTTCCATCAAGAAATTGTTGTAATATATGTTGATGTTTAAGATTCTTAAGAATAAAAATAGAAATTCAATTTTCTTTTCAAGTATCATTCTTATAATACTTACACGTAAACGTATAGCAGAGGTTGTATAATTATGATATTTTGCATGAGCTGCTTTATCTTCAGCTGAATGGGGAAAATAAGCCATACCACAACGTTTACATATAATAGCATCAAGCATTTTTTGTCCAGCATCCTGTTAGTTTAAATGAATATTTATACATTCATAGAATTAATTAAATTTTGTTGAAGATTTAAAGAGTAGTAATACGGTTTTTTCTTAATACAATTTTGAGAAAATCACCCGAGATCAGTATTCGCCACTCTTAGCTTATATTAGACCGATAAGGAAGTCTTGGTAAGTCTAAAAAGCTTCGCCTCCATAGTTGCGAGTTATGATCATTTTACTGAGTTTTCGACCCGACTGTAGGAGATCAAAAGTTCAGTAAAACGATGCTAACTCCCTCATTAGCGGATATAAATTTTCTAGATTCTCATTTAATTTCCTATCGGAGTTGTCGATGTAAGACATGAATGAATTTTTTTTTAGTTTTGATTTGAGTTCGTAATCTCGCCTTCAGTTGTCGGGACTAAAGCAAGTTTTGCGTATCATTTGAACTTAAAATTCTAAATAGAAATCTTAATCGTTCGAATGTATATTCATTAAAATTCCATATACTAAATTCTATTAGAAAAATCTTTATTTACAATAAGTGTTTGTTTGAGTTTTGGTTCGTCATCATTATAAACTTTACGTGGTTGCTATAACAGAAAAAAAGAATGACATATTATTGCATTAAATATATTTTATAAACAATGACTGACATTTCTAAGTCGTTGTTTATAAGCTTTTGTTTCTTCATCATCTTCTTCTTGTTCTTCTTCCTGTATTAATGTTTTTTTTATAGATTTAGCTTTTCGTTGTTGTAGTTTTTTTGTCTTTTCTGGTGTTCCAGAAATTGTCATTGTTGTTTCATTATGCCATGATGGTGTAATATTTTCATCGTCACTACCACTACCTGTTGTTTCGGTTGCACTGAAATCTACTGCAACATAAAAAAACAAACGCATAAGGTTGAATTTATTGATGTGCCCTCGAGCGTTTTATTAAACGTGAAGGACACTGTTTACACGTTACGCATGGCGGACAGACATGTAATTTTCGTTCTCGAAAATGATTTTTTTGTTTCTACACAGAAGTTATTGCACTATCACTCAGAAAATGGAGAATTTTTCAACGAAAAAAAGTCCTAAAGGAAATTGTTGTTCACATTCTTTCGAGAAAATATCTTCTGTCATACATTATCCTATGTAAAGCCAAGGTTTTTTGGAAAACTTGCTGTATGATTCAGAAGCATTTATGCCAACTGTTGTTTAAGCTCATATGGAATTCACAAGGAGATCTCGATAACACCAGAAAAATTCGAAAAGAGGTCGTACCCATAGGGTTTTGGGGGTGAAGTTATGACCATCTTGTTGAGTTTTCGATCCAGCTTTAGGTATTTACCGAAAAATCAAGTAACAGTATTTCGATCTAAAATTTCGCCTATAGAACAGGTCGAATGACTAGTAGAATAAATGATCATGTTTTGCAAATTTAATAACTCGACAAAGGAACATTATTTTCGATTGAAATTTTTAGAATATTCCTACAGTCATCAGATCTATCCATGGGCAACATTTCAGTTCGAAATTTCGTTATGTAACTTGGCTCAAGAGATTCATGGACACGAACTATTTTAGGACTTTTCTAGTCATTACCGAAATCTTCTTGTGAATTCAATATGAACTCAAATGGTAGGTATCAGTTCGAGTAGTACTCTCGTCAGCCGATCGGCTTACATTTGTAATTAGTGCTCAGGACTACGCATTCGTAACTAAGACATTTCGAAAACTTTTTTTTTCTCTCAAAATTATACATTCAAATGAAAAGAGGTCTTCAAAGATCGATACGAGACAACATTCAG